TAATGGTAGTAGCCACAGTTGCTCAGAGTCACTAAGAGTATTTGGGAGAGAGACTAGTTGAACTGCTGGTCAATGCTGATGTGGACTGTGTCTGCATGCTTTAAAAACACCCTGTTACTCATTTGTTGTGTGTAAAGAAATATACACATACTCATATATTGTAAAATTTACTACATTTTGATAATTAGGTTCATTTACCTCTGTCGTACTAAACATAAGCTGTTAATCCCTCATATAACATCTGCAGCGATGCATTTTGCAACACAAAGATTCTAATTAATTATTCCTCTAAGGTTTAAACAATCATGTTTAGAAGTTTTACTAAAAAATTGTACATGCTCCTGTTTTAAACACCGTGATGAATACAGTATCACATTTTCTTGATGGCTCTGGTTCACTTTACAAGCATGTAGCAAAACGGCTTTCTTTGCTAAGCTATATACAATCGATGACTCCCATGCTCTTCTAGTATGTTATTTTGCTTTCAGATTTCAGATTTGCAGGCAGTACCCAGACTCCCACTCTTGCATTTATGATGGTTTCTGTACCCCCTGTTTTCTAGGCACTAATGAAGATTACAAGGGGAAATTTGTAACGAAGCTTATTAAGTTGCTAAACATTTTACATAAGTAGTTGAGTTGGTGTAGACGAATTCATGGGCCGTGTAACCACTACTTACCTATGTTCAGGGCCTCTTATTTTCTATGTTTTTTGCTATTTTCTGAGTTGATTTAGTTTTCCTAATAGACCTGTACGTTTTCAGGCAATTCACCCACCATAGCCTCCCAAAGTGCTGGGATTACTAGAATTCCTACAGGAGAAAAAGAATTCCCAAATTGAAGGAATAGTAAAATTTCTGGCAAGAAAGGGTTAAGATGGCAGCATGCTCATGACTGGCTGGGTGCTCTGTATTCTCTCTTATCTGCAGTTCCAAAATCTGAAAAGCTCAGAAAACCTTTTTTTTTTTTTTTTTTTTTTTTGAGATGGAGTTTCACTCTGTCACCCAGGCTGGAATACAGCTGAGTGATCTTGGCATACTGCAACCTCCGCCTCCCGTGTTCAAGTGATTCTCCTGCCTCAGTCTCCCGAGTATCTGGGACTATAGGCCCACGCCACCATGCCCGGCTAGTTTCTGTGTCTTTAGGAGAGACAGGGTTTCACCATGTTGGGCAGGCTGGTCTCGAACTCCTGACCTCAGGTAATCCACCTGCCTTGGCCTCCCACAGTGTTGGGATTATAGGCGTGAGCCACCACACCTGGCCCCAAAACTAGTTTTTTGAATTCAGTGCAAACTTAATCTGACTGGAGGTTAATAGTCTTTATCCCACTTCACGTTAACACTCTTTATATTTCACTGCAAAATATTAGTGCATTTAATTTAACACCTTTGCAGAGGGAGTGGGGGTGCTTACTTAATATATATAGTATATGCACTGTATTTCTTTTTTAAAGTTTGGATTCTAAATTTTATTTTTGAGACAGTCTTTCTGTGTCACTCAGGCTGGTGTGCAGTGGTGTGATTATTGCTCACTAAAGCTAAAACTTTCCAGGCCCAAGCCATCCTCCCACCTCAGCCTTCTGAGTAGCTGGGACCTCAGGTGTGTGCCACCATAACCAGCTAATTTTTGTATTTTTTGTATTAGTTTCGCCATGTTTCCCTTGTTGGTCTTGAATTCCTTAGCTCAAGCAATCCACCCGCCGTAGCCTCCCAAAGGGCTGGGATTACAGGCGTGAGCCACTGCACCCAGTTCCAAAGTTTTGAATTTCTTTTCTAGAAATTTTGAATTCTGAAACATCTGGCTGCCAGGGTTTTAGATAAGAGATTGTGGACCAAAAATCAAGATGTTTTGAAAAGCGCTTTTCTCTGGTCTCTCCTTGTGTTACACACAGGTCATATAGGAAAATGAGAAATTATGCTGGACTTAATGCCAAAAAAGCTAGATTCTTTGCTTCCCCCATTTACTTTGTTGTTATTTGAGACAGGGTCTCACTGGAGTACGATGGCATGATCTTAGCTCACTGCAGCCTCAACTCCTAGGCTTTGGTAATTCTCCCACCTCAGCCTCCCAAATAGCTGAGACTATAGGCGCCTGGCTAATTTTTCTATTTTTTTGTAGAGACAGAGTTTTACCATGTTGCCCAGGCTAGTCCCGCTCTGTTGCTAGGCTGGAGTGCAGTGATGTGAATCTTGGTTCACTTCAACTTCTGCCTCCTGGGTCCCAGTGATTCTCCTGCCTCAGCCTCTTGAGTAGCTGGGACTATAGGCATGTGCCACTATGCCTGGCTAATTTTTGTATTTTTAGTAGAGATGGGGTTTCACCAGCTAATTTTTATATTTTTAGTAGAGATCTGGTTTCACCATGTTGGCCAGGATGGTTTTGATCTCTTGACCTCATGATCCCCCCACCTCAGCCTCCCAAAGTGCTGGGAGCCACTGCACCCGGCTCCACATTTGTATTTTCAAAGTATACTTTTGGCTTAGATGAACTCAAGTTCTCACAGCCAGAAACTGGCAGAGCTGGTGTTTGAAATCTTTAATTTTTCAGTGCTTAAACTCTTCATCCTTGTAAGATACCACTTCTTGTGTGGGTCGTTTTGTGAAAACCACACTTGGAGATTTCTACTCCTCAACCCCAAGCCTCTTTATGACACCTGTGGGAAACATGCTCAGTGCTGCAAAGAAAAATCAACACTGAGACAAAGGATCTCTCAGCAAGGCAATTTTACTTTCTGCAGAAAGGATGCCCCTGTTAGCCATCTTGCCACAAGAGTACAACTAACAAAGGAAAGCAGACATATTTATCCCTTACACATTTGGAGTCATCTGATCTCTGTCGGTTGGAGCCAGACTTAACAATCTAAAACTGAACTCGATCAGCTAATAACTTAAAACTTTCTTGAAGAGGTAAAGGCAATGAAGAACAAAAGTAAAAGAGGAAATCCAAATAAGAAAGGGGCATAGGCTGTGAGCTGGGACATGCCTGTGAGCATGCCCAGCACAGATATCTTGGTTAAAGTACAAGGACATAGAATGTACTATGTGCCTGTGAACGTGTCTAACAACTACATAAGATAGGGCTTAACAAAGAATTATTACCAAAAAGCAAGAAGGCTTTGAAGAAAGTCTTTAAAACAAACTATTATTTCTAACACTTATGATTTATTCTTTAACAAGAAAGGAAACTTTGAAGAGGAACTTTTCTACTTCCCACAACGTCCATGCAGGACTTCACCTCCGCTTTCCTGTTGAAGGTCTCAGAGACTTGCCTTGCCTTCCTCCTCTTGGTAGCTGTCAGTACTCTTACCATTTCATGAGTTTTCCCCCAAGCTTGGCTGTGGAATGTGATATGTAGTAGCTTCACCAGCACCTTTCTCCCAGCTTCCTTGCTGTACCTGATTCAGGCCTTTTCCATTTCTGGGATCTTGCTGTTAATCACTATGGGAGTAAGTAAAGGTAATATATACAAAATAAATGCATAATGGAATAATATAGGGTAGTTACAAATAATGATTCTTGCTGTTTCATCCTGAAAATGTGATCCTTAACGAGTCACATTTTAATTTCTGCTTTTTATTTCTGAGAATGGAGTCACCATTTTCCCCCTTCTGGCTACACATTTAGATGCATTTCAGATCTGATGATGGTTGCAATGTAAAAAAGAAAAGGCCTTTGGTTTCTGTAGACAGTTTGGACAAGATAACTTCCAGAGGGGGTAATGTCCAGTTTATTAGTGTTACTGGATGGGAAGTCTCAACTCTTGAGTTGTCTGGGTTCTTGGTGTGTTGAACGAAGAATTGAACAAAACGTAGAAACAAAGCAACAAAAGAAGCAATGAAAGACAAAGCAACAAAAGAACGGAGTAACAAAAGCACAAATTTATTGAAGCAAGCAAGTGCCCCAAGAGTCCCAAATGCAATTCTTAAGCTTTACTAGGCTAAAAGAATTTGGTAAACCTCTAGGTGCCCTTTATAGTCTGCTACTTGGTTACACCCTATGAAGGATTGGCCTGTGACCAATGAGAGGCTGAAATGGACATGGCCGAGGCCAGTCAGAGGTTGATGTTGAAACTTCTGCCTTGTGAAATCACAGGAGTGAAGGTGTGGCCTGTATCCTTCCTAGTCTTGCCTAGAACTGGCTGCATCTGCTGTTCTTTTGCTTATGCCTTAACCCTTGGTTACCCTAATTCCCTATTCTCCTGCCTCATTAGGTCTTTACCCTGACTAAAAATGCACTCATCTAGCTGGGACAAACCAATCCTACACTGCATTTGTCCCAGCTACATGAGTCTTCTGGCAGAGTACATGGCACAGAAGTAGGCATTCAAAAATTAGGCATACAGTTCATTTTGTTACCTATGTGCCAGGTGTTGGGCAGGCTAAGTCAATTAACAGCTGAACAGAAACCTACCTACCCAACGTGCTAACTTCTACACAGCATGGTCGTGCATCCAAATCAAATGGAAAGGGGGTGGGAGATCTGGAAAGGGTTCTCGTGGGAGGCATCTGACTACCTAAATTCCTATCCCAGTTTCACTTACTGACACTTGGAACAAGCAGCCTCTCAGTGCCTGTATTCCCACTGTAGGTAAATGGGCTAATGACGGTATCTCTGGCACTAGAGTTAATTAATGAAAAGCGCATGGAAGAGAGCCTGGCTCACAGTAAGTGGACAGTGCGTTTCCCGAGGACAGCACTTCGCCTGATGTTCATCTTCTAGGCTGAGAAGCCAGGGTAAATCCATTTGATTTTCCTATCACACAGTGCCTCTCCCCTGATGAGTTCAAACCTTTAGGTCCATCCAGTTCTGTCCAGACGCGATGTTCATCTCCAACAGGCCCACTGGAGACGCGAGTTTTCCAAAGCCTGGCACGGCCCACTGCAGGTACCGCCCTCAGGCCTCTGGCGTCCATCCTTCCTCCCTACCCGACTCCCGAACCTCTTCCGCCGCCAGGCGGCAGTGGTAGAGTCGCACCGCCTCACGCGCAGCCCCGCCCCGGCCTCCACGTGACCTGGCCGGCTGAGCGCGCACACGGGGGCCCGCGCTGGAGGCGGGCGAGGGCCGACCGGCCAGCAAGGGGTCTCGGGCTTGGGAAGGGCGGGGCCACGCCACAGGCCCGCCCCCATCATCAGCTGCCTACGCGCGCCAAAGTCAAACCTCCACACCCGCCGGCGGGCCGGTGAGCTCACTAGAGGACCGGGCAAGTCAGGATCTGTCTCAGCGGCGCCGCGAGCTCCAGCGCGCGCATCTGTGGCTGCCCCCCTGGTCTCTCTGCCCGACTTTCTCCAGGCCGACACAAGACTAGGAATGGCCACCCCGCCCAAGAGAAGCTGCCCGTCTCTCTCAGCCAGCTCTCAGGGGACCCGCATCAAGAAAATCTCCATCGAAGGGAACATCGGTAAGGAACTTCCGGAAATGTGGGACCTAAGGCTGGGGCGTCGCGGCAGGGGCTGCAGCTTGCCATCCCTTCTCTGCAGCTCCTTGGCTTTCCCTCCAGCCTGGCCTTGTGGACGCTGCCTCGGCTTCCTTTCCCACCCACAGCATCCTCCCCTTGTCTCCTGCGCCGCGGGGTGACTGCGGTCACAGGGCTCGGACTGGGCGCCAGGCCTGCAGTCTGTGACGCGCGCTTTGAGCTTCCGCGCCCTCTTTGTTGGGAACTCGCAAAGGGAATCGGGGAAAAGGGTATCAGATATCTGGAGGCGTAACTTACATTAAATTCATCATTTTTAGGTGTCCTATTCTGTGAGGTTTGACAAACATTATGCCTTTAACTGTCGCCACGATCGAGATACAGAACATTTCCATCACCTCGAAAAGTTCCTGCTTGCTCCTTTGTAGTCAGCCCTCTACCCCCTTCCTATTCCCTGGCAACCACTGATTTGTTTTCTATCCCTGCAAGTGTTGCCTTTTCCAGAATGCCATCTAAATGGAATCATAGACTATATCGCCTTCTGTGTCTGGCGTCTTTCATTTAGCATAATGCTTTGGAAGTTCATTCATGTTACTTGTGTCTATGGTTTGTTTCTTTTTATTGCTGAATAGTATTCCATTGCATGGATGTACCATTGTTTATCCATTTTCTAGTTGTGGACCTCTGGGTTGTATACAGTTTTTCAGCTATATTATTAACGAAACATATAAACATTCGAGTACAAGGAAAGAGGCCTTTAATGATCTTAATAGCATGGATTTCCTCACCCCTTACTCCACATCCAAGTAAACACTGGATTATGATTCAAAGACCACTGATGTTCCTGTTAACTCAGATGGGGGACAGATTAGGCCATGCCTGCCATTTTGCAAGATGCACAGCAACTTTCGATTCTTTTATATTTCCAACCACAGGAAACCTACTCCTGAAACTTCCTGTTTTGATAGATTTAAAAAAAATTGTTTAGCTCCAGGTTGGGTGCTGGTCACTCATGCATACAGCAAATGCTTTAAAATTCTTACCACATTCAAAGCACTGTACTTTCTTGAGAAAGGCAAGGAAAGCAGATGCTTTAAGCATTCAAATGAATAGAGAAAAATGCATTCTCAAAGAAGACTTTCTTATTTCATTGCTCCAGAATTAAGGCACCAGTAGAGACCATATAATATACTTAGCAATTTAAGTTATTTGAGGGTGCATGTTCACTAGTATGGAATCCTTCACAGCTGCTTACTGTATAAAGAAGAACATATATAAAGGCGGGAGAAAGTAGCTGAACAAAGCCATCTGAAAGGTAAATTTGAGACGGGGCATGGTGACTCATACTTGTACTCCCAGGATTTTGGGAGGCTTAGGCAAGAGGATGTCTTGAGTCCTGGAGCTCGAGACCAGCCTGGGCAATGTAGTGAGCCCTTATTAAAAAAAAATTAAAAAGTTGCTTCATGTGCTGGTGTGTGCCTGTGGTCCCAGCTACTCCAGAGCCTGAGGCAGGAGGATTGCTTGAGCCCAGAGGTCAAGGCCACAGTGAGTCATGATCACGTTACTGCACTCCAGCCTGGGTGACAGAACAAGACTGTGTTAAAAACACAAAAACAAAACAAAAAAGGAAATTTGAATGAATAACTCCTCAGAGCAATACCACAGTACATTCATCCTGTTTCTCTCTTTCAAATCCAGTTAGATAACATCATATTTAGGAATCTGCTTTCCCCAAAGCATCTTTAATCTTCTCAGCACCTGAAATAATTTTCTAATATATCATCCCATCTCCAGTTTCTCTTAACTACTTCTGAAGCAGTCTTTTTGTATGCAGATGTTTTTGTGTTATCCCCAGCTTAAACTTATTCACTGATTTCCCCATTACCTACACTGAAAGGAATTGCTAACTGATAGCCTGCAGTTGCACAATATTGGCAGGCACAGGTTGAAAAAAAATTTTAGTGCCCCGTGGCTCAAGTTTATAATTCCAGTGCTTTGGGAGGCTGAGGTGGGAGGATTGCTTGAGACCAGCGTGGCCACATAGTGAGAACTGTCCTCTAAGAAAAATAAAAATAAAAAAGTTAGACCAGGCGTGGTGGATCATGCATGTAGTTCCAGCTACTCAGGAGGTTGACGCTAATGTGGGAGGATCGCTTGAGTCTGGGATGGAGAAGTTGCAGTGAGCTGAGATGGCACCACTGCACTCCAGCCTCATGACAGAAAAAAAAAAAAAGGCCAGAAGTGGTAGCATGCACCTTTAGTCCTAGCTACTCAGGAGGCCAAAGTGGCGGATCTCTTGAGACCTGTAATTTGAGGCTGCCGTGAGCTGTGGTTGTGCCACTGCACTACAGCCTGGGCTACAGAGTGTTTTCTTTAGACACAGAGTGTTTTGTTCATGTCCCCTTCACCTTATTTGCCAGATCCAAATAAGCTATAAATGCACAAATTATTAATTTGTGCTATTTTTCTTCTTGCCCTCTGGGGTTTGGTCTGTTTCAGCATCACAGGGAGAACGAATTAAATTCGTTGCTAACTTGAAAACTTTTTGAGATTTCCCATAAACACCTAGATTCTTGGCTTCTTTTGAAAAATCTGAGGATCTGTTAACACTGGGCCTGCATTTCTGTATGACAGCATTGGTGTTTAGATGGAGCATGTTCCTTGCCATTTTTCATCTCCCTGACACTGAGATTTTGTTAGTTGCTGTTTATTATTGGTCTTGCACTTTTGTTCATGTCCCCTTCACCTTATTTGCCAGATCTAAATAAGCTATAAAGGCTTATATGATTATTAAGCTGTGTGTACACAGTCATCACAAACATGAAAGCAGCATGGATACAACCCAGTGGTGCTAAAAGGAGAAACAGTGTGAACAAAGCATGATTTTGGTAACCACAACAGTTGTTGATCCAAGGACAGTGATGGACCATCTTCATCACACATCTGTTAGACTTTCTGCGGTGATGTGAATGTAGTGCCTTGTATGCTTGGCAGACTTTACAATACTGGAGATACGGGTATCCTGAGAAATTTCCAGTTTCCACCCCAGAGGGACGAAGCCCGGACTGACAAACATGGCATTGAAGTAATTATAAAGAATCATGACAGTGTAATGTATCAGCATGATGAAATTCAGACTTCCTCCAGTTGTATGTAGGGGCCAATACCACAATCCAGAGTCAGTCATGGCCATTGTACAACATATTGCTATAACATTAAGGGCTATGATGGGCCCCCAGTGACACGGTCTCTTTAATTCTTGGAGATTTTCAAATTTGATAACTGAACAGAATGTACCCATTTTGGCAAGGAAGAATGCCTTCCTACTTTTAAAGAATTATAGATTTCTTTTTTCTGTGCACACATTTCCATGTGCCACAAGTCCATGTGTGTTCTTTATCTGTCATTCCTTCAAGCTGTTAATTCTTAACGCAGATTACACCATTTTCACTGTCAGGCACCCAAAGCTCTTTATCTTAACTAGGAGAATCCAGTACCTTGGTCTGAAACCCAACCTCAGCCACACTGAGAGTTCGCTCCTCAGCCATTGCGTATCTGGGGCAGCCTGGGCTCACCCGGAACAGATTTTTTCCTCCTTGGATGACTTGATCGTGGGCACCTCAGTCCAGGACAAGCAGACAGCAAACCCTGGCCGCGAGAGGCTGGAGTGTGGGACCTGCTATGACCCATGTGCGACCCATGTTCCTCTCTGCCAGCGCCCTTGCCTCGACGCTCCCGCTCAGGCCCCCTTCTCCATTTCCAATTAGCTTATTTTCTAGCTCCCACTTTTCCCCCAAAAGTTAAGGAACTAGATGTTAGTCTAATTGGGAACTCCAGCTATTATTACTCTGCTTGAACTAAATGTAATCATTATTACTCAGACTTTTTAAGTATGAACTAATGAACTTTTTCTTCTTGTAAGCAGTGTCAGAAGAAAGTTGAATGCTCTGGCCCTAAGTGCTTTCAGACTCGAGTGGATGCCCGATTTTTAAATGTGTTCCTTGGGTGCTCTTTCTGAACATCATGTTCTCTTTCCCTCTTCCATCTAGTTCAGTGAATGTGAACTATATGCTTCCACTTTCACTTAGCATTCTTCTAAGTGCCTTAAAGTCCCTAAGCTTACACTCTCCATACTAAATTTTGGTGGCCAGTATTTTTCCCATGACTAAATCTAATAGTCATCCAGTTTATCCTTAAAAGTTTTTCTCCTCTATTCTGGAGACAATTGACTGTGCTTTTCTTCTAAACTGTCTCCCTGTGTCACCTTTTTATTTACTGCCTCCTTCCCTTTCTTTTTCTCTGTGTGTGATTCTTTAAAGTTCTTCTAGTTTTTTCTTTTCTATTGCCCTATCTAATGTCCTAGATTTGAATATAGTTCTGCAAGTCAAAGGTAAGTTCTTTTTACTCTCTGTAGATCTAATTTATAAGGAAGAGGAAGCTTTGCTTGTAAGTATATTGAAGTTATTTATATGTTCATCTGTGTGTGTGTGTGTGTTTGTTTGTGTGTGCACACACACAGAGAGAAAGATAGAAAACATTATGCTAACCAGAGATGTCTAATGTAACCACATTTGGTGACTTCAGATATAAAGGGTGTGGTGGCCATTAGGAGTATTGCTTCTAGATCAAGACTGTCCCTACTATTAAATATAATGTATTATTAAAGTGAACATAATAACAAACAAATGTGCTTAATGAAATTGGTCAGGGAGCCTTTTAATTTTCATTTAAAGAAATATAAAGTTTAGAAAATGGAATGTTTTTGGTTTTTTGTGTTGCTTGCTATTGTAACTCTTGCAAAAGCTGATGATTATTTGACGTCTTTTTTTCCTGACAATTTTTCTTCCTCATTTTATCTTTCTTACAACAGCTTCAGGGAAGTCAACATTTGTAAATATCCTGAAAAAAGTGTGTGAAGATTGGGAAGTGGTTCCTGAACCTGTTGCTAAATGGTGCAGTGTCCATAGTACTCAAGATGAATTTGAGGTATGAAAATAAAATTTAAGTAGATAAAATCCTTTTGGTTTAGAGGAGCAGTAGTACTTAATCTCTTGGCTTTTTTTTTCTTCTTTTTCAATAAAACTTTCAAATCTAGCTTTAGGTCTATATCTTCGTCTAGGCGGTAGTTACATGGATGAATATACAGTTGGCTCTCCATATCCATGGGTTTTGGATCTGGGGATTCAGCCAATCGTGAATAGAAAATATTTAGAAAAAAATAAACAATAATACAAAAGTAAAAAATAATACAGCTTACTGTTTATGTAGCATTTACATTGAATTAAGTATTATAAGCAATCTAGAGATGATTTATACTATTGGGGAGGATGTGCATAGGTTATATGCAGTTACTACACCATTTTATATAAAGGACTTGAGCATCTGTGGATGTTGGTATCTGTGTGGATCCTGGAATCAATTCTTGAGGATACTGAGGGGAGCTGTATGTATAAACATTCATTGAGGCTGGGGGTGGTGGCTCATGCTTATAATCCCAGCACTTTGGGAGGCTGAGGCAGGCAGATCACTCAAGGTCAGGAGTTCAAGACCAGCCTTGCCAACATTGTGAAACCCCATCTCTAATAAAAATACAAAAATTAGCTGGACATGGTGGTGGACACCTGAATCCCACCTACTCGTAAGACTGACATAGGAGAATAGCTTGAACCCAGGTGGTGGAGGTTGCAGTGAGCTGAGATGGTGCCACTGTGTTCCCAGCCTGGGTGGTAGAATGAGACTGTCTCAAAAGAAAAAATGAAAGAAAACAAAATTTATTGAGCTAGCATTCAAGATTTATGCACTTTAAATAAAGTATAAATTTTTTTTCATAAAAATTTCTTTTTTTAAATTATACTTTAAATTTTGGGATACATATGCAGCACATGCAGGTTTGTTACAGAGGTATACATGTGCCATGGTGGTTTGCTGCACCCATCAACACATCATCTACATTAGGTATTCCTCCTAATGCTATCTCTCCCCTTGCTTCTCACCCCCGGACAGGCCCTAGTGTGTGGTGTTTCCCTACTTGTGCCCATATGTTCTCATTGTTCAACTCCCACTTATGAGTGAGAACATGCAGTGTTTGGTTTTCTGTTCCTGTGTTAGTTTGCTGAGAATGATGGTTTCCAGCTTCATACACGTCCCTGCAAAGGACATGAGCTCATTTTTTATAGCTGCATAGTATTTGATGGTGTATATGTGTCACATTTTCTTTATCTAGTCTATCTTCGATGGGCGTTTGGGTTGGTTCCAGGTCTTTGTTATTATGAGCAGTGCTGCAATAAACATACGTGTGCATGTGTCTTTATAGTAGAATGATTTATAATCCTTTGGGTAGATACCCAATAATGGGATTGCTGGGTCAAATGGTATTTCTAGTTTTAGATCCTTGAGGAATCACCACACTGTCTTTCTAATGGTTGAACTAATTTACACTCCCACCAACAGTGTAAAAGCTCTCCTATTTCCCCACATCCTCTCCAGCACCTGTTGTTTCCTGAATTTTTATTGATCACCGTTCTAATTGGCATGAGATAATATCTCATTGTGGTTTTGATTTGCATTTCTCTAACGACCAGTGATGTTGAGTTTTTTCCATATGTTTCTTGGCCACATAAATGTCTTATTTTGCAAAGTGACTGTTCATATCTTTTGGCCACTTTTTGATGGGATTGTTTTTTTCTTGTAAAGTTGTTTAAATTCCTTGTAGATTCTAGATATTAGCCCTTTGTCAGATGGTTAGATTGCAAAAATTTTCTCCCATTCTATAGGTTGCCTGTTCACTCTGATGATAGTTTCTTTTGCTATGCAGAACTCTTTAGTTTAATTAGAATCCCATTTGTCAATTTTGGCTTTTTTTGCAGTTGCTTTTGGCATTTTCATCGTGAACTCTTT